TAATTCATTATCTTCTTGTCGATCCACCAGTTCACATTTACAACTGCGTGTTTTCTGCTTTGGTCTAAACAAAGAGCAGAAAATGCAAATTCATTCTCTGCCAGCAGGTGGCGCTTTTCACCAGGAATATAGCCGTTTCCCCGGTAACCGCAGTAAACAAAGTTTGAAACTTGCAGCGCTCATATTTAATCAATTAATCCAGTGGTTCTCAAACCTGTCCTGGAGTAGCCCCAGCACTGCACATTTTGTGTCTCCCTCATCTATCACACCTGATTCAACTCATCAGCTCATTAGAGGAGACTGCAAGACCTGAAAATATTTAAACGGGATGATAGCGGGATATAATGGTAAAATACGGCAGAATCCCGGTGTCCTGACATCCTACCCGTCAGATTGTCCTACCAGAGTTTACTGTGCATGCGCACATCAATATTGCGTCCTTTTTCTCATGCTGAATAACAATATTTAATATATCTGCATTACTGTAAGGGTAGGTTTAGGGTTGGGGTAGGTGTAGGTGTAGACTTTAAGTGTGTGTGTGTGTGTGTTGACATCTACTGCACTGTACATCAGTATCAGGTAAAGCGTGTGAACTCTTCTGAAAGTAAAGCGGTACTGGTCTCATATGTGAACACGATCAGACATCTGTCAAACGACGCTGTGAATCATGTTTATACGCTGCATGTTTCAGACTCTAAATGAGGCGTTTTGTTCAGTGACCTATAATCACATGAAGCCTCACCACTGACATGCCAAAGTTACAATCACCTGACAGCATTCCATAGACTGCCATCGCTTTATATACAGCTAGTTACTATAACCAAACAATACAATTATTAATTTTTACAATTAAACTATGTGCTTTCATGCACTGGTCAGTTTTTGGTGTGTTTTGCTTCCATTTCATGTCTCTTTTTTATAGTGGACTAGAAAACATCCAAAATACACATTAAGTGTTTTTTATATATATATATATATATATATGCCTATACAGTTTTTATTGATTTTATTTCCATTGTAGTTTTAATTATTTTAGTATATAAAGTTAAACTAAATTAAAATGAGAAATGTTGCCTTAGCAACTAGCTGAAATAAAAAAAAATTGTTTTTTTATATTTTATTTTATTTCAGTTAAAGTTTATTTTATTTCAAGTAAGAAAAACAAAATTGTTTTTTAATGGTTTAACATTTTTAATTGGTTTAAAATGTTAAAGTTTTTAGATTTAGCTTGGGTTCACTATAATAACCCTGATTCACACGATTGATACCTGATTTATTCAACATTTTACTCCTAAAAACATGGTGAAAATGTGTTTGTTTTCATTACACATTAATGAATAAATCTGTATATATCAAATTAATTTCCAAGTGTCATGTTTGTGATTTTTATTGATGTAAGCTATTCTTTCTGACCTTTAAATCTAAACATACTCGTGATTTTATGACATCAATTACTGCTTTATTTAATCAGAAACACAATCTTAATGTTATTTGTGTATTTTACTTTCATTTTATTACAAGTAGGCCTACAGCGCCCCCTAAATAAATAAAAGGCCTCACCGGACGGGCGTTAGGACTCTTTACTCTCATCACACACCGGACGCCTCATTCTGTACTTGTATTCTCAGATTAAATTTGGCGATCCACAGGCAAAGTTCATTCAGCAAGGCATATCGGCATAATTTTTGATATCGGGCCGTTACCGATGTTTACTAAGTTCCGATAATATCGTGCATCCCTAAAAATGACACTTGCATTTAAATCAGCACCATTTGCAATGTCTATATATATATTCAGGTTATAATCATACGTTTGAAGACATGTAGGAGAGCATGGATAGTCAGATTCAGACGCTCACCGTCTGTTCGGCGCGGTCTCCTCGTGTGCTGATGTACGACACTCGGTACTGACGCACGTTTGGACCCAGCAGATCCCATGATACACGCATGCTGAAGGTCGTCATATCGCTCAGCTGCAGATTCCTGATGGCCAGACGCTGCACTGCGCGCACACACACACACACACACACACACATGTTGTGTTTCCATGTTTTATGGGGACATTCCATAGGCGTAATGGTTTTTATACTGTACAGACCGTATATTCTATTGCCCT